AAACTTTTCCCCACACCTTCAACATCAGTCTGTGTGAATTCTTTTTTCTGAGAAGGGTTTTCTGTAGATAGCAGATATATGGGTCACGTTTTCTTATCCACTCAGCTACCCTATGTCTTTTGATTGGTGCATTTAATTTATTTACATTTAAAGTTATTATTGATAATAATAACTTGTTTGTCACCATTTTTATTCTTTACCCCTGTGTTCCTTCTTTGCTTTCTATTTCTTCTTTTTACAGCAGACCCTTTAGCATTTCTTGCATTGCTCTTTGGTGATAATAAACTCCCTTAAAGCTTTTTTTGTGAAGCTCCTGATTTCACCCTCAGTTTTGATTGATAGCCTTGCTGGGTACAGTATTCTTGGATTCAGACCCTTCCTTTGCATGACTTTGTATATTTCATTCCATTCCCTTTTGGCCTGATGAGTTTCTGTTGAGAAATCAGTTGCTAGTCTGATAGGAGATCCTTTGTAGATAATTTTCTGTATCTCTCTGGTGGCTTTTTAAAATACTTATATTGTTGTTGGATTTGCCAATTTAATTGTAATATGCCTTGGTGCCAGTCTTCTGGGTTCATTTTATTTGGGACTCTGTGAGCTTCTTGGATTTTTGTGAGTTTTTTCTTCCCAGGTAGATGTTGAGGGATGAAAGGAACTGTAAATGCCAATTATGTGCATTTTGGTTAATGTGTCATTTAAGACTAATATTCCTTTTTTTAAATTTATTTTTTGTTGTTGAAAGTATTGCAGATGTTCACTTTTTATCCCTATTGACCCCCCTCCACCCTGCACCTATCACCCTTCCATGCTAATATTTCTTTATTGATTTTCTGTTTGGATGATCTATCTAGTGCTATAAATGGAATTTTAAGATCCCAAACTATGATTGCTTTTGTCTGTTCCTCCCTTTATTTCTATTAGTAGTTTATATATTTTAGTGCTCCCTGATTGGGTACATACATATTAAGAAGTGTAAGAAGTGTTATGTCTTGGTGATGTAGTATCCCTTTATCATTATAAAATGTTCATCTTTGTCTCTTGTTAACTTTGTTATCTTGAAATCTGTTTTATCAGATATAAGTATGGCTACACCTGCACTTCTGTGGATGTTATTTGCTTGAAGAATCATTCCATCCTTTTATTTTGAGTCTAACTTTATCTTTGCAGCTTAGCTATGTATTCTGAAGGCAGTATATGGTTGTTGTGTTTTTAAATCCAACCTGCTACACTGTGCTTCTTTATTGGTAAATTCTGTCCATTTACATTTAGAGTAATTATTGATGTATGAAGATTTTCTGTGGTCATTTTTATCTTTTGTTTTCTGTTATCTCTGTGCCTCCTTCATTGGTTATTTCCCTTTGTGTTTCTGTCTATTGTTTTTCTTGGTAGTATTCCATATTTCTTTGCTCTGTTTCCTCTTAAACTACATGTCTCAGTTTTGGGGTTTATGTGTATGGTTACCATTAGGTTTATGAAAAAGAAAGATTTATATAAACAATAGTCCTCTTTCTTTTGAATGCATCTGATCTCCATCTTCCTTTGCAAATTCAGACTTTCACCTCTTCCACTTTTATGTTTTTGTTGTCTCAAATTATCTCTGTTTATGCTATAAATTTTCTGGTGATATTAAGCTTAGTTTTTGTGACCTTTGTTCTTTGTTTCAGGAAGAACAACCCCTTCAGTATTTCCTGCAATGGAGGTTTCTGGTGATAAATTCCCTCAGCTTCTATATGACTAGAAAAGTCTTTCTTTTTCCTTCATATTTAAATGATAATTTTGTTGGATATAGTATTCTTTCCTGGCAATGTCTCTTGTTTAGTAGTTTAAATATTTGGTTTTACTCTTTTATGGCTTGTAGAATTTCTGCTGAGAAGTCCCATGACAAATAAATTAGCTTTTCTTTATAGGTTTCTTTCTTCTTTTCTCTGGCTACCTTGAAAATTATTTGTCATTAATTTTTGACAGTTTCAATACAATGTGCCTTGGAGAAGGATTGAGGAAACTAGATGTTCTGTTTGCTTCTTGGATTTGAGGATTTATTTCTTTCGACAGAGTTTGGAAGTCCTCAGCCACTATTTGTTTAAATGGACTCTCCATTTTCTTCTCCTTCCCTTCTTCTGGTGTGCCTATTATTCTTATATTGCTCTTTCTGATAGAGTCAGGTAGTTCTTATAGAGTTCTTTAAATTTGTTTTATGCTCAAGTCTCTCTTTTATTCCCTCTGTATAAGTTTTAGATTTCTATCTCCTTTTCTCCATCTGGTGCACTCTATTTTCTATGTTGCTAGTTTATTCTTGATTTCTTTTATGAGTTCTTCATCCCCAGAATTTCTGTCTGGTTCTTTTCTAAAGTTTCAGTCTCTTTAGTAAAGTACTCATTTTGTTCATTAATTTTTTTTTCTACATGCATTAAATTGCCTGTTTGTATTTTCTCACATCTTGTCAACTATTTTGTAGAACTATAATCTTGAATTCTCTATCATTTACATCACATAGTCCCATGCCCTTGAGTTTATTTTCTGGAGAGTTTTCATGTTCTTTCTGAGCTGTCTCATTATTAGTTATTCATGGTATTCAATGCATTCCTTCTCTGTCTAGGCATCTAGGTATGAGTTGCATTTCTCTAGCAGACTAATACAAAGAGGTCTCTTATTTCCCAGTAGGTGGCACTGAATCACATTTTTGTTTAGCTCTGTGAAGTCTCAGTGCTGCCCTTGTAGCCAGACACTGCCAGGGCAGCTGCAATGTGAGGGGAAAGAATAGGCCAGATGAACCAACTTGCTTCTTTGTTGTTTTTCCCTCCCTGTCATGGCGACCTCGCTACAGTGTCTGCCCTGAACCCTGACCTGGGACTGCTCACAGAGTGCACGCTTTGCTCAGGAAAGAAAAGATTCTGCAGTACCAGTTCTGGGGGTTGTGTTCCACAACCTCATGCAGAGAGTGAAGGAAGGTGAGCTCTGGGAGGCTACAGGATGGCAGCGTTTTTTGGCTTTGTTCTCTGCCTGGAATGACAACCATAGCCACCCACGCATGCTGTATCCTTTCCAAGTCTCTGGGCTCAGCTGCAGTTCATACTACTCACTCCTGCAGGGATGCCCATTGAGTCTCTCTGCTCATTCCAAATGAAGGGAGCACCAGCCACTACTGGCCCCTCCCTGCCTGGGCTTCGCTTCGCTATGTGTTCCTGGCTGCAAGGCTGTGTCTATGGCTCATCTGAGTCATTCTCCCTTCTACCCTCCTCCTTTTGCTCCCATTTACCCACTTTTAGGTATTTCAATGAGCAGATCTTTCAGCCTTGCTTGAGCATTGGGCAGGGAATCCTGAATTATTGTTCAAATTGTTGAAACTTTAAGAAGAGAGACCAAGGGAATCTCTCACATCATCATTCCTGTAATATCACCCAGGTGATCCTTTTAAAGTAGTTTGGATTTATATGGCCCCTCTGCTCAGAAACTTTCAATTGCATCTACTGCTTTGAGGAGAGACTCTGAAGTCCTATGAATGTCATAAGTGTTTTGACTACTATTTTGTTTCAGCTTACTCTTCAGTTATCTGCTCTTTGCTCCCCTTTCACAGCCAGTCTATTTGCTCAAAACCACCCTATCCTACTATGTCTGTGCTGTCTCTGGTGAAATTGTACTCACCTGCCAAGACCAAGTTCAAATATCAGTTGTTCTGTGGGAACTCTCCTGACCCATTCCATACTGAATAAATTCTTCCCTTTTCTGTGATTGATTGTACTGTGTAAATATTTATATTCTGGGACCTATTCTACATTATTTAGCATATTGGTTTAAATGTTTGTCTCTCCCTCTATACTGTAGGCTAACCAAAAGCAGGGAACTTTTTTTTTTTTTTTTTTTTTAGCTTTGTAGTCAAGCAGATTGCATAAACAGGCTAGATATGTAATAAATGTTTGCTAAGACCAGGGGAAACACTCCCAAGTACCTTTCAGAGCATTCTGATTCTGAAATAAAGGACAAGTGTGAAGATGTGATCTCCAGATTCATTGGAGATACACCTATAGCTAATTTTAAAGTTGTGTGATTGCCATTAGCACTTTTCTTTATTTGCCCTGCATTATTAATGAAATGGTACACACTAATGGCTTTTAAAAGCACTGACATTACTCTCTATTGCTAGGGAAAATTGCATTACTTGCATCAGTAATTTTTCACTTTTGGCATCATAAAGACAATTCACACCATTTAAAATCGAAGTTTTGAATTTACTCCATGATATCAAAAAATAATGAATATAGCCCAAAAGATCCACACAGACATAAGATTAAAAAAAAAAAAAAAAGAATTGAGTTGCACAGAGCAATTGCTCAATCTTTGATTGGAATTCTCCCCAGCTTTTGGCACCTACTTCCTGGCCCTGGGTTCAGGACTGTCGTACTTGGTGCTGTTAAAAAGATAGTTCAATAGTAATGGATGAGGAAACAGGGAAACAATATTTGGAATTCATAACATCTCACTTCAGACATTCTACGTAAATTAGCTGAGGCACACATCCAAAAGCCCCTGAGAAATACATGCAATCATTTCCAGCTTGGGAAAGGGGATGGAATAGTTGAGCAACTTCAATAATTCATTTGAAAACTCACTGGAGTTCATAAACCAAGCCGAGTGACAGAGGCAAAAGCTGAAGTGAAACACCCTGGCTTATTCCAGTATCAGGATTTAAACTAGCAGCTAAAATCTCACTTCTCTGATCCAGAAGAACTCAGCATTTGAGCTCTGTGGGTTGTGGACAAGGGCCAAGTCTCCACACATCTGCATCTATGCCATTCTAGGTCCTTCCTTTTCTACAATTCATTCTATCGATAGTTGCTATCAGTGCCCTCACTCGGACAGGCTTAGAAGGAAAAGGATTTCCTGTTGTGCCCTTATCCTGTAGCTCTGGACTCTTCACTGATTGTCTTCTGCAATAAGTAAAATGTTTCTAAACTAAAGGTGGAAATGAAACAAAAACATGTTGAAAGAAAAGGGTAGACATATTTAAGAAATTAAAACAAAATGATCATTTATTGTTTTAATATGTAGTTAAATATGACAGCAGTATTACACAAATTGTTCCCTTCTCCTCTTTCTAAAATCCCAAATTTGTTGACTTCAACTGAAAATGAAAACAAGACAAAATATGATTTAATTCTGAAGATAGCATTCAACAGAGAGAACATAGGTAACGTTTGGTCAGCACCTGCTTCCAGACCTTTAAAGATGAGTTCTGTCACAATGGTGGTGGATAGATACACTGGCTTTCTTACAAAATTATTACTAGGGGGAAAAATGGATTTCCCATGTAGTGTAAGTAGAACCAGAAGAACTGTAGAAAACCTTGTCTTAAGAAGCCGTGTGAAGAATACTTAATGAATTATTGCAATCATAGGGATCTTTAGATAGCAAATTAATGAACTATTTAAAGGAAATACATTCAAACTTAGATAATTTTTTCTTACAGTGAAAATAATCAAGAAGCTTATAGAAGTATGTAGCATCTGAATTATGGAATTTAAACAGTGGATTTCAGTAGAGATCACACCTCTTCTGCCATCAGACACCATTAGTGCAAATTTAGATACAATCATTTTTACATTTGCAGGTTCAGGTACATCAAGCATGAGGTCATCGTGGCATATGCATCGTTCCTTTTTCATGAAGAATTCAGCCTTGGAATGTCTTACTCACATAGAAAAGGAAACAAAAAAGATGCCCAGAGGACTGGAGTAACTGCAAAATGCACAGTTTTCCAACCACCGTATTAAATTAAGTTTTGGAAAACCTCTGCAAAATTAACCTTCACCTGAAAAACATGTCCTTGATTTGATGAAAAACAGTGAGAACCTAGCTTGCAATGCGCTGTGCTCACCCACACAATCTTTCCTCTTGCTTGAGGCTGGCTGAGTTTAGAAGGTCAGATTCTCCCCCCGCCGCGTTCTCTCTCAGCAGCACCACAGTGGGCTTTGTGATCTGGACAAAGGGGACAATTATCCCCACTTCGAAAAGGCTTTTACAAATATTCTGTGTGCTGGTGCAACTGGCATAAGACACAGACAGCCCCCTGGGTGTCCAACTTTTCCTTTCACACTTCAACATTTGAAATGACTACAAGCAGAATTACCAGAAACAGTAGTAAATTCCTGGCATTGGGAGTTCCCATGATCCCAGCTGGCATGCAAAAAAGGCTGTCTTTCCCCCCAGAAAATAATGTACTTCCTAGGCACTGTCCAAATACCTCAAACGAGGCAAATGAAAGATTTGTTTTGAACAATCTCTGAAAAGACTGTCCCCTGTCAAACAGGGCCCCAGGATTTAGTTATAATATATACAAAATGTCTGTGTCTAAAGAAACTTAATTCATTTCCCTAAAATGATTTTAACATTTCTTAGCAAGAGAAGCTCTGATTTCACATAATGGTATTTTCAGAGTAGCCTGGTGGAGGACACTTAATTTGAGAATTTATTGCCCTGTTACTAACATGACAAAATGAGTGTATTTTTGTTAAAACACCTTTAAAATGACTACCTAGACTCGACTACAATTTCTAGACAATATTCCTTGAGTCTGGGTCCTGTGATGACCAAACTCCATAAAGATCCAGCTAGGGGTCATAGTGGAAAGTGCCCTTATATTTTCCTCAGAAAAGTTACTTCTGTTTTCATCATATCTTACTGCCTGGGTGTGGTTGGCTCCCTCTTGGGCCCTGGGATAAGGGAACCAAAGAATATTCCTTGTAAGTCACAGGAAGATAAATACAAGTCTCTTTCTGGTTATTCCCTGACCATAAGTAACCCGATCCCTCTCCCTGCAGCAAAGGCCTCAGCGATTTATAATTGGTGCCATAGAAGTACAGGCAGATGATGGCTGAGTTTTAGATGAGCTAGGGGCATCCTTTGCTTTCTGTATGTCATATATTTCCAGCATAATTTGCAGAATCTGTGCTCTAGTATCTGAATGACCTAAATTTTAGCTGATCCTAATTGAATATTTATTTGCACCTTGCTCTGAAGAAGTTGAAAACTCTGCTTTGGTAGCATATTTTGATATTTACTTTTTTTCTGAATGATCCCCATCCAGCACTCATATGTTTTTATATCTCCCCACATAGCAAACTTCTAAAATTAGTTCCATGCTATGTGTCTATTCCATAGGCACAACAGGTTTTTAGTTGGGTGATGAATAGGAGCTATAAATATATAGTTTTATAATGCATAGGGACTGAGAGACTATGCTTAAAAATCAACATGTCAAAAATTTTTACTATATTTCCTTAGGAGATAATTTCTCTTAGTTATTCTTAAATGCTAATAAATCTTAGAAATTAGAAAAAGATGCATTCTAGCATATGATCTGCATTATTTTTTTCCAGCCTTTTGTTTTGGATTTAAAGGAACATAAATCTTTCAGTGTAGACAGTGATCTGAAAATTAACAAGAATTAACATTGAGAAGCCAATGATGATGTAATTCATAAATTCTATGGAGAATGGATTCAAAAAATTAGGTAACTTGACTCATAATTATAACCTTGCTTCTTTGCAATAATCATTGTGAAAACAGTGGGCACTAAATAGTTTAAAAGTTATATGAGGCAATAACTAGGCAATTGTATTACAATTTAATTTGAAATTGAATATCCACTTAATCAAAATATGAAGTAACATCGTATTGCCTGACATAACAGTAGTAGAGTAGAAAATTATATATATACTTGAGGCTCTCCTTGGTTATGGTTTTCTGATTTCAATGATTGTCTTATGAGAGCTCACTTGTCAGTATTCTATTCCCTTAGACTTTGCAATGAAGGTTTTTAATTTTGTGTCCATACTAGCAACTTGTAGCCAATAATTATGAATGCTTTCAAAGTCTGGGTTGGTATTTTTGCAAAGGAGTAAAGGGAAATATGACATTCCAGTTGGGGGTTTGTTATTATTTGTGGGAATACCAAGAGGCTGACTTTGTATAAATTTTCCAGGTATTTAAATTGGTGCAGAAGAGACACAAGTACAAATGGATGGGATTCAGATTTACACATAGGAAATTAATGACCCTTCAGGAAAACTGACATAAGGCACATCAAATTAGTAAAAACTTTGGCCTGACCTGAAACTCCCACTTTTCAGTTACTTGTGATAGTCAAATATTTTGTTTTTGTTCTGTTTTCTTTTTTTGTCCTTACAAAAAAAAAAAAAAAATCAGTATCAGAAATAGAACATCCAGATATACGTAAAATTAGAAACACTAAACTTCAACTTTTCTGAGTGTTTTGAAGGCAAAGATGAAGGAAGAAGATTTGTAGATGTGTGAAGTGATCAAAAGAAAACTCCTCAAAGCAAAGTCTCTGCGATACTAGTTTCTGAGATACTATAGTAAGTCCACAAACTTAGCACCACAGTAGCTGATATAGCAGTAAACATAACTGTCAAACACCCTTAACTCTAGTTACCAAATTTCAGAGATAACAAACCTTCTCCTGAAACATTTGTAAAGTCAAGAGATGGAGAAATAGATAAGGATATGATGTTGAGTTGTGGCTGAACTAGTGACTTTTTACAGTCCTGTCTAATGCAAAGAGTTTATGATTCCAAGTCTTATTGTAAATAAAAAACCTATCCATGATAAGCATTAAATGATAAGGAAAACAGAAAATTTCCTTTTTTTATCCTGATATATTTTGCTCACTAGCTAATTCAGTAGATTTCCCAATCCCTCCAAGGGACATTAGTTGCCACAATTGCATTGTGTGTGTGTGTGTGTGTGTGTGTGTGTGTGTGTGTGTGAGAGAGAGAGAGAGAGAGAGAGAGAGAGAGAGAGAGAGAGAGAGAGAGAGAGAGAGAGAGAGAGAGAGAGAGAGAGAGAGAGAGAGAGAGAGAGAGAGAGAGAGAGAGAGAGAGAGAGACACTCCTGGCATATACCACAGTCAATAGAAGCTCTGGAAACTGACAAACCACCTATAGTGCTTGGGAAGACTTGCACCCCCTTTCGCCAACAACGAGTGAGTCCCAAAGTGTCAAGAGTGCTGAAGCTGAGAACACTTGAGATGGTCTAATAAATGACAAAGAGCCACACACACCTAAACTGCAAATGCTTCTTTGATACACTGGTGCTTCTGGAAAATCTTAAAAAATATAATGTTGATAATTTTAAAAAATGCAAACAGATAATGGTGCAAGAAGGTGAACTATTATGCTTAGTCAGAAAGAATTCAAATGTCCTGGAAAGTTCTCCTGTGTCCAGGACAACTTTGGATATATAATTTTCTTCTTATTAATGAAATTAACAGATTATTTAAAATAGCTCAATTAGCACAGATGTGAGTGCAATGATGTCCCATTTTTCATAAATTTTCTTCAGGCAAATATTTGATAGTTCTTTATCTAAGTGGAAAAGGAAATTGGAATTGGATAGAGAAATAATATTGGTCGTACTGCTTGGCAAATTGTGTTTGAGGATTTTACCATACTACAAACAATGATCACTATTTGTATTTATTGTACTATATGCCACAAGATCTTCAATAAATATTTATGTTGATTGAATGGTTAAATGAATAAACAAATAAAGGAATGAATGAAAGTGCTGTTTAAAATGTAAAGTGCTTTACAAACACAATGTAATATGAGTATAAATGTAATAGGTAATGCTGCAGACCTCATAATATTTGTTAAGAAAAAGAAAACCTTCTTAGGACAAAAAAAAATTCAGTTTAGAAAGCAAATAAAAATTGTGATTATATAAATGATACTCTGAATATCATTCATTTTCAGGTGCACTGGGGTAGAAATCAAACAAAAGCAGAAAATTTTTAAATGGCAAAAGAGAAATAGCACTGTTAATTTAGATAGAAACAGGTATGAGTGGGGAGGGGGAAGAACAGGAAAACCCAAACAAAACCCTGTAATAGCTAGGACTTGAAGCCACAGGTTGTTATTAAAATGGCACCATTCTTAAAACAGCATCATGATAGAGGAAGACTGGTCCACTGTTCTACAGGACAGAGCAGACAGTCACACACAAAGCTAGCTTTTAGAAGGACTGTGCCTTCCGAGCTGCTTGGTTGACCTTACATGTGACAAAGGAGTATAGACAAGAACTGGAACAAAAATAACCTGACAGGAGTTTCAAGTTCAAGATCTGGTTTTGACAATGTGAAAATTACTTTCTCTCTTGGACTCAATTTTCTTATCTGTGAAATGAAAAAGTTGAATTAGATGACCTCCCATGATGCTGACATACAGATGCTCATGCCAAGAGTGAGGGCAAGGATGAGAAAGAAAAGGCAAGAGCAATCTTTTGAAATTAGTAAAAGCACATAAAGTAATAAAATATCTGAAAAATGTCTGAAGAAATACAGAACAAAATAGAGGAGAAACCATAACCACAGGATATATTTTTTCAGTTAATCTTATTTAAATATTCATTTCTTGTCATGGGATGGATGTGTCTTAAACCATACTTGGCTAATAAAAATTTTTTTCTCTCAAATATACAATAGGTCCTAGGAGCATCACCAAACTTATACTTCTTCAGAATGAGGAAATAACAAATAATTTTTTGCCAACAAGTTAATTATACTAATCTGAGAAAATGTATTGCCTGCATATTAGCATAATTTAAATTAATTTTATTCCTTTTATGCAATATATAGTCTTCGTTTGCAAAGAGAAGTCTGCTGGTCAGCTCCTAGGCCTCACTTTGCTATGAAGAATAAACTGGGGAATTAGAAGAAACTAGAGATGTTAATAACTCTACTTGATAAAGAAGTGAGCCAGTTGAACTATGAACATAGAGGCCTTTCATGTGGGAGAGGACAGATGGCTGGGAGAGAAGTCATGTAGAGGAATTAGTAAGAGAAAATATTAAGATGGAAAAAAAAAAAACTTAAGTAATTTGTGTCTGGTTTGAATGTATTCTCCTTTGGCAGTTTTTCAAGAAATGTATTGATCTGATTGTCTTTGAATGCTTTGTGGACTGATGAACTTTTCTTCCTCTGCATGCAAATGTATGCTGGTACTGAACCAAGATCTGTGCTTTATTTGGGTTGCATTGGCTTATGGTTTTAAAAGTCTGTACATCTGTGCATTTAATCAATCTGCATAATAATCATCTTACAGGAAAGATAGGATGCAAATATTTTTATTTTCCCAAATTGCAAACTGTGACTCATGAAGGTTAAAGTGATTTTGCCAAAATAGCATAGTGGACACTCAAAGCTGTGTCAGCTGGTATTTTTTTTCTCTTCATTATTCCATCATGCCTCTTTGAAATAAAAATGCTTAGTTTAGCTAAGAACTACTAAATCTTTTCTATCCTTCTTTTTCCTCAAGGGGGGGAGGGTTGGAAGGAAAGATCTCTATAGCATCATATAATAGAATTTCTGCGAGGATGGGGATATTCTGTATTGTCTAATATGGTAGCCACAAGCCACATGTAGCTATTGAGCACTTGAATGTGACTAGTGTGAGTGAAGAGCTGGATTTTTAATTAAAGTTAATTAACTTACATTCAAATAACCACATTTTTCTAGGGAATATAAGATTGGACCAGCTCTAGAAGCTACATATGACAGATTAGCAAATGCTCTAGGTATCTTGAACTAAAATAATGACTGGGGCAAATTGTAGGTTATCATGTATCTTTAGTTTTCTATTTGTTAATATATCTGGAAGTCCAAACTCTTTATAAACAAAGCAACATTGTGGTCACTACTATCTGGTTGATGTAAGGTATTTTTCTTGACTTTTAATACTTTTATCTAATCATTGAATATTACTTTTACAAATAATGAAGATGAAATAAGTAACTCCCTGTATAGTACCATTAACTTGATTTCTGCAGTTTGCACATATTCCTTTGCTACTTCTAATTTTTAAAATTGTTATTCTCTCTCTATGTTCATTGTTTATTAAGCAGTATACAGATGTTCCCTTTCTAATATATTATACATGTACAGTTCAAAGTATCAGCATCTATTCTGAACTTCCTGAAACTTTGTGTATGTTTGCTCTTTCGTTTTAATAAATGGTCACCAAGAAAGAAACAGAGACATATAAAATAGGTTGAAAGTTCCATGAAAAAAGGGATTCAGCCAGCCTTTACCCTTAACATTAACGGATTCATATGCAACAGAAACATCTCACCACCTTTAACTCTTACTTCTGTTAGGAAGCTTTCCCACACTTCACAGCCCTTTTCCTTCCCAAAAGTTGTATCTATCACTTGGTGCTTTAGTTCACTGAACATTTTTTCTGTGTTTTGTTACAGAATTGCCTATTCTCTTGAATAAGAAATGGAAGATGGGAGAGTATAAGGATAACATTACTATTTCAAAGAGTTGTGTAAGAAGTTAGATATATAGGCAGTATTTCTATAACTGTCAATCAACTGCTGTGAGAAGCCACACCTACCACAAAAGCTAGTGAAAGAAGCATCATCTTATCCTAAAAGGAATCGTCTAAGTGTCCCTTACGTCTTTATAGAATACCAGTTGCACCAGTTACATTGGCAAGTCATTTGGTTATCGTTATCTGATCAAACCTACTCCACACAAAAGCAAGTTGGGATAGTTCATACAAACTGAACGAAGCTATGGCAGAGAGATTGTCATCACATCCTCCAATCACCTTGTCTGTCAAACTTTTTTGCAATTGTTATCTAAGTACTTAGGAAAAAGTTACCACCCTCAACAGGTACTTACAAATGTAAAACAAACTGTATGTGGTGAAAAATGGCACTAGTTTACACCAGAAAGTTGTGTAGATAAATATGATACCATTAGTGAGCTGCTGTCATTCCATGTAGATACTGTATACAACGTTGTTAGTAAAGTGCTGTTTAAGAGATCTCTGCTTCTTGATACCAGAATCTGCAAATGGTAGACATTGTACCCTATTAAAGCCAACAGCTTCTTGGCACAGGATGTAAGTTTCATGGGTCAAGATGTGATGAAGTTGTATGCACAGTACCTTAATTTTAAACTTTAGGAGCTCAGTATATAGATATTAGACACGTTCCTCCTTCTATTTTCGTTCAGGGGGAAATTTCAAGATCTGGATTTTCATTACAGGGCAAATGACAGCTCCATTTAAGGAGCATTGTGCATCAGGTTTATTTAGCCAGGGAGGAAGGGGTCCATATAAATGAAATGGTGGCTCAAATTGGCAGGACGATGATTGGCATTGCAACCAATTGAACCACTTTTGCTAAGTGACATAAAAATATTCTAATATTAAGGATTATTTTACAACTCTCTGGAAGTATGCAGTAACACATCTTGCATTTGTTTTGTCTCGATGACAAAAATGCACTCTTAGAGTCACAAGAGCCTGCCTTGTGTTAGTTATAAACAAAAATATATTTATATATATTTATGTAACTACTATGTGCTTTAAAGAAAATTACTGTATGATTCAGCAGGGTTCTTTCATTCTTTTATCACCATGGATATGCTGACTTGAATGGCTTCTTAGAAGGGAATCGACAATGAAATGGGCCTTTAGTACTGAAACGGCTAAAAGTAAAAAATACCCATATACTTAGAATCCCTTAGCCTTTTTGTTTAAAAAACCATTAAGGAGCTACTTATCCTTTTGTTTCCTCCAGCCAAGAGCAACTGTGGCTTCATAGGACTTTGCCGCTGGGAGATGGAGGCAGCGCTTCGTAAAGCGAACCAGAAGTTTTATTCTGAGAACAGAAAGCCTCATTTGCTGCTCCCTCTTTCCTAACCCTTAGCTAACAGGTTGGACATCCTGTCACAGCTCATAAAAGGCATTCATTAACAAGGGGGAAGCACAGTTTAAACCTCCTCCTTTAAAGTAATGAACCTGTTGGAACAGGTGGATGTAGACCAGAAAAACACAATCCTTGGACCACACGTCTGATGAGAAGATAGAAAATCTCTTATTTTGGGTTTGTTTTTGTTCCTGCATGAGCTATTTGCTCAGCAATCTTGACATTCATCCTTGCTCTTTTGGATGGAAGGGTTCAAGCTTTGGAACACGGTTAACTTTGAGACATCAGGAAGAATATACGAACCCAAGGGGTAGATTCTTTGTGAACTAAAGCTTCGTTATTAGTGTTTAGTTCTCGATCCCTACGCACTCCTGCACCTAAGCCGATGGCATATTGTCATAATCTGGGAAGTCCACACGAGATGTTCTGGGTGAGCTATAGATGCCATCCTCAAAGGAATTCTATGTTCAGTGGCCAGTGGTGCCTTGTGTAAGTTTGAGTTTTTCTTTTACCCTTCCTGGGCTGGGCTTGTCCAAAATTCTTGTTTCCTTCCAGCTACAGCAGCTTAGGGCTCTTGTGTGTGTGTGTGTGTGTGTGTGTGTGTGTGTGTGTGTGTGTGTATGTGTGTGTTTGTTTTTTTGTCTTAAAAGTATAGGAAAAGTTTTAGTCTGAACACCTGTAAGCCAGCACTGGTGCTGTTCTGTCCTAGGAACCTTAGCACTGCTCTGAGACAATAAAACCTTCCTTCTCTCCCACGGGTTCCACTTCTGCATAAGCAGGATGGCCAGAACCTCTTCGAAACTTCATCGCAGGCCACCTGCTTGGGCGTCTCTGAAAGAGAAAATGAGAAAACAATGAACACCAGGGTGATGATAACATCAGAAGAAAAATATATTTGCCAAATAGTTTAGATTTACTTCTGAATGAAATTTAGGAATATGTTATCTCTTATTACCACCACAGCTGCAATTATATACCCACAAAGTATATATCATTTATTAAGCTGAGAATTCACATATATTCCTTTTTGCATTTGAAAATTAACAGATGTCATGCCATGAAAACTGAGTCCAGCATTGAGGGGCATGAACCATTGTGAGCCTATGAACTAAATACCTGCCCGTATGGTCACTAGTCCTAAAATACAGGTTATTTCTATTGACAAAGAAATGCATGTCTCCCCAGTTCTCCATCCATCAAACAAACACTAAAATACATTTTATGGTTACAATAACATTAGAAACTATTAGTCTTTTTATTTGTATGCAATTTTAGAGTAAATAAGATAAAAAAAACTACTATAGGAAGTTTATTTCTACCTAAAGAATTTTGATGTGAAAAAAATGTTAAATATTAGTGTAGATATCCTGGCATTTGGCAGCTTTCTAGACTTGCCAATCTTATTTCAATGTCAATGATTAATGGCTGTAGAAGGTATGAATATTAGTTCTACTTTCTGGAAAAATACCAATCAAGGTAATTACATTTTGCCTTCTAATAATATTATGTACTGTCTATGTATGATAACATTATGTGGTCAGAATGCTTTATATGTGTTAGCTGATTAAGTCCATGATGTAAGTGAAACTGAATTATTCATATTTGTCAAAAGAACAAGTTAAATCTAAGAGAGGTGGGTTAAAAAATAGTATGTCTCTGTTGGAACTAAAAATCATCATCATTAGAAATACACAAAGCATCTCTAGGCAGATGGATCTGTAACTCATGGTTATTCCTGTCTGTGGGAAAATGCCAATATGCCATTGTACTCACCATTTTTAACCCCTACCCTGGTTTCAGTAACTTCACAAATGGACTTCTAAAGCCATACTGTCCTAGTCCTTTGAGTCAAGCAGCACAACCAAGTCTTTGTCTGAATTCCCATGTTTCCAAGATCTACCTGGCTGGCAAGTATGGCCCCATGAAGTTGGGCTAATGTACAACCCAGATAATGAGAATGTTGATAATGATGCCTGTGAAATTTATATTTTATTAAGCTCCTGACAGTAGTTCATGTTATGTACTAGGTGACTTAAATATATGATCTCATTTGATATGCAGAACTCAAAACATTTACATTTTGTTTACACTTGTAAAGTTAGTAACTGGCAGAGCCCAAGATTTAAAATGAAATTTATCTACTTCCAAATTTAATTCTCCCCACTGTAGAACTTAATTCTTAAAATTCAGTGGCTTGTATATAGCTTATTTGAAATTTGTGAACATGATTCTATTTTTATTTCAGTCTTAAAAATATACCCTTACCAGCAACTTAAGTATTCTGTTAATAAGCCAGAAACACTAAGCTATCAATAATTATTCTTTGTATTAGCTGAAAAGAATGCAGGGTTAATAATGCTCACTGTGTCCTTTGTGAACTCATCACACAAGTCCTCAAAATAAAGTACAAACATTTTGGAGAGTGAAGCTTCCTCTGTTAACATAATCCTAACTTATTTTCTGAATTAATTACCTTAAACTTTCTCTTGATTTTTTTCTAACATTTGTTTCAAAAACACACACAGACTTGCCCCATCAACATTTAAAATCACTAGAGATCCTGCCACTCATTCATAAATTTGCTTCAACTTTCAGTGTCTACCACTTATATGCATTTCTAAGAACAATGAATCATTACACATACTGTTTTAAAAGCTCCCCTCCCCCGACAAGAAAACACTGAAAAAAATTCATGAACTATGCCTCTTCAAAATTATTTTATTTTTTTCCTCTTTTTTATTTTATTTTTTGCATTAAATTTCTTTATTGATTCAGATATTGCATATGTGTCCTCATCCTCCCAATTACCTTCCTGAACCACACCCCCACTCATGCCCTCACCCCCCTGATGTCTGTGTCCACTGGTTAGGCTTATATACATGCAAACAAGTCCTTTGCTTGATCTCTCCCCCTTACCTCCACTCTCTCCTACTTTCCCTCTGAGGTTTGACAATCTGATTGATGCTTCCCTATCTCTGGAACTGTTACAAAATTATTTTAAGTATCTATAGAGTATATTATTTATAACTAAGTCATGTTTTATATAATCAACTTGATATTTGAGGTAGTTATTGGGCCAAAGCGTATGCACAGAATATTTACAAAAGTGGTGCTAGATGCTGTGTGGAAAGACATATGACCAAAGAACGGTTTTGGAACATAGTTTCTGGTCTCTTCGGGAATATGTACACGTACTCCTGCTGTGTCCTGCCTAGATTAAAATAAAATACATTTTTAAAAATGATATCTTAATATAGCTCTTTTTTTCTTTATGCTAAATAAATATATTTTTAAAAAAATCTTTATTGTTTAAAGTATTACATGAGTCATCTTCTCCCCCCATTGACCTCTCCCTGGCCACCCTCCCCCACCAGCACATGCCCTCACTCCCCTACTGTCTGGTCCTTTGGTTATGCTCAAATGCATGCATACAAGTCCTTTGGTTGATAATAATCTCTTAACATTCATAATTGAACTCTAACAAATATCATACAACTAGGGTTTTAAAAATTTGGTCTGATTTTACATGTTCTTGATATCTCCAGCTTAGCCCTAAAGATATAAAACAGTAATAACTTTACCAAAATTCTGCTTTCTTTCTAGAATACTTTCACATATAACACAAATTAATTATATGATCTTAAATCACCAGGTTTCTCTGGGCTTTTGTTCCCTCACTTGTAAAATATGATCTAAGGGTTTGTCCTCTAAACTCTTAGGATCCTTATATGGATTTGCCTGAGATAATTGCCTTTAATGTTGTGGGGGGGAAAAGTGACTTAAAAATTCCTCTGCATGGTGGTTTTTCTGATCATTGTCTCTCCTGCCTCTCTCCACAAACTTTTAGGATTTCTACATTTAAGGGAAATCTATATACATTAGTTCTAACTGAAATGCTTTTCTATGTCGATCTTCAGTCCTTCAAAGGCTTCCTTATAAAAGAAAATAATGGGGGCAGTTCTCTGACTGTGAGGGGATGTCAGAATAGTTGATAGAAAAATCTTTAATGTTGATGCTGTAACAGGAGGCATCTATCCAATGGCCAAGGGGGTCTAGACAACTGATGTCTAGCACTGCTACAAAGTGTTGTGGTCACAAGTCTGCATTGGTATGTCTTTCTCAAGGCTTAGACATGTCCAAATCTGACTTCTTTTTAGAATAGCGAATTCACATTACTGCAGAAACTGATAGGGGAAACAGGATCACTTGCTAACAGGGCAGGATGCATACTGAAATTGAAAAATTCAAATCAGAATGTAGTGGAATTTATTACAGAAATTCAGGAAGTAATGCCTTATACCATTAGCAGGCATAATGCGTGGGTGATCTCTAATTTCATGCCGGAGAATTATTTATGTGATTAATTACATTCAGAAGTCAATGTTCACATTGATATGCTGGCTTGGGTGGGCTGTGCAATCAGGTATTCTCCCTAATTACTCCTTCAGCACTACTAATTGAACAGTCATCCAGATCTGTCTCAATGGTCCATGGCAAGATACTTAGCTGAAATCTGCATAAACAAACCTGCAGGGCACCCTCAGTTAGCAGTGTACACACAACTGCAGCTGGAGACTTCTCTTTAAGCTCAGTCAGCAAAGCAAATAGTCCTTGGAGTTGGGCTGGATGAGCTTTGAAAGGAAGTTACTAAGCATGAGTGTGAAATAAAATGGGCCAGATTTAAAATTCAAGGCTCAGTTGGAAGACACTTGACATCAGCTGGTTGGACATTTCTGGTGTTTTGTGCTGCCTTCTTCACTGAACCGGGGCGGGGGGGAGGTGAGGTCATACCAAGAAGCAGGAAATCAGACTTAAACAGCATCTGTTTGTTCCCATCATAGGACTTAGGCAGACACATGATGCCTTTGTAACTCGGTTTCCCCATTTGGAAAATGAAATAAACATAGATTTTTTTCGACTTCTTTTTAAATTGAAAAAGTGTCGGTCACAGAGCCTTGGTTCCACTGAAATCTCACCTTGTGACCAAACCAGATTGGGCAGAGTAGGGCTCCTTCATTGGGAGGGAGGAACCCCTGCTGCCATGCTCTTCCTGAGCCATGAGGAAGCCTGAGGACCCTACCCCTTCTCAGAGCAGGTTTTTGGAAACTGCAGAACTAAAGCTGCGTTTCTCAAGCTTGGCTGTGCATACAAGTCACAAGGGATCTTGTTAAAATGCACATGCTGATTCATTAGGTCCAGGGGAGGCTGGGACTCTGCATTTCAAACAGGGCCCGATGCTGCTGCTGCTGCTGGTCCACACTCCGCACACACTTTAAATAGCAAGGGTGGTGATTGTCTAAGGTCTCTTCAAAGAGGAGCGTCTTTTAAAGTGAGTGGAAGAAATGGGATTGAACTCTGACCTTCCTCCTGTCTCCCCTGGGCCTTCATGGGAACTGGACACTCCTTGTACAGCCAGATTAACCTTTCTGTGTTTAGCTTTGATAAAGTTTGTTCATGAAAAGGGATTTATTTTTCTTTAATATAGCTCTACCAATTATTCTCTATTCTCCTTATTTTGCATTGACTATTATTTCAGTTTTAATAAGTTAAGTGTTTGGGTTTCCAGATTTGGCAAAATAGAGAGCAGCATATAATTTGAATTTCAGATAAACAATGAGTAATTTTTAAAAACTATAGTCCATAGGACACATACTAAAAATTTTTTAAATTTTAAATTAGAATTTATCTAGAGTCCTCTATTTTGTTTGACAACCTTATCAACATGGAAACACAATATTTTTGGGTCCTGTCCAAGCAAACTTGCAATATAATTAAAATAAACTACTCCTGTTTGTGGTTGTACTTCTTTGCTTCACGGACAGGAGGTCACT